TAACCAAGGAGGCAAAGGGTCTGTTAGTTAGAAGGGGTTTATGGCTCAGAGCAAAGGATAAACCCACCTCAAACAAGATGTTTTTACCAAGCAGGAAGACTCCACAGGCAAACAGTGAGCAGATGGTGCAAGTAGAAAAAAGAATTTTCCACTGCAAGAAAACTGAAAACCAACTTGTAGCTTAAACTGCAATGTAGTAACTTTCAGTGCCTGCAGAGCAGTGCCATGAATGTGGTAATTGCAGTAGTTCTGATGGGCTGCAGATCAAGGTTCAGGCACAGACTGGTTCTGCTGTATGAAGGTGCTCAGCAAAGCAAAGCACAGAATGCATTTGTAACCCAAACCCAGGGTCCCCAGGCCTGCCCTGCAGCTGAGAGCTGAGGCTCAGGCTCTGTCACCCACGGCCTGGAGTGCTGTGACTGCTTGGGTGTGATAAATGCATTTGGAATTGCCCCTGGAGCCCGCATGCCTCGTCGAGGAATACAATGTATAAAGCAATAAAGAATTTCAAGGGAGGAAAACAGCTTCAGTGAACTAAGTTTGAAGAAATACAAAACTGACAGGGAACATTCTCGAGGGGAGTCAACTCGGGGATGAAACTGGCATCTAATGAAAGAAGTGAGGAAAGTTCTGTGAGAAGGGCAGGCACAAAAGGAACAGCATAAGGAAACTACGAAACTACAAATCAAGCAGTGAACATCCTAATAAAACAACAACCACACCACAACAGTGACCCTTCCCTTTTCACTGCCAGCACCCGTGACGGGCTGAAGGACAGTGCAAACCTCCCAGCACCCTGCTGCTGCTGCAGCTGCTCCTCCGTGCCCCTGGAGCCGCCTGGCAAAAATCCCCACCAAGCAGCTCCCAGCCTCGCCACGGCCTGCCCTTCCCCGGGGTCTGTAGCCACGATGTTTTATGAAAAATCCTTTGCTAGGGTTTTTCTCCTATTCTAGCTGAGAAGCCTGAGAAAAGAAATGTAAACAATTCACTCTCTGATGGCTGTGGAATGTGCTCTGGACGTTGTTTACCAACAGGGGCAGCTGGGGTTGGTGCATGTTGGTTGTTTCTAATCAATAATCAATCAAAGATGCAGCTGGCTCGGACTCTCTGGCAGTCAGGAGCTTTTTGTATCATTCCTCTCCTCTCCTTCCTAGCCTCCTGATGGATCCTTTCTCTCTATTCTTTTAGTACAGTTTTAGTATAGCATTTATAACATAATATATATCATAATATAATAAATCAGCCTTCTGAAACAGAGTCAATATTCTCATCTCTTCACTCGTCCTGGCACCCTCAAACACAACCATAGGTGTCAGTCCACATCCCAGCATCTGAGAGCAGCCCACACCCAAGGCAGGCAGCTTCCAGGGACATCACCTCTGGCCCTTTGCGTTCTCCTGCCCTTCCAGGGGCTCCTGGGCAATTCCCAGGCCCCCGCTTGGAAAAGGCTGTGCCAGCTCAGCAGCCAGCACAGGAGCTGCCGGCAGGGCTCAGGGCAGGGCGGCACAATGCCAGGAGAAGGGAGAAACTGCTCCGGACAGCTCCGGCTGGGCTGGGAACAGGGCAGGGCAGTGATTTTCAGTGATTTCTCATCACTAAAATAGAGAGATGTCAACACCGGGCTGTTCTGAAAGGGGATGGGAAGTTCTTCTGGCAAAACTCGACGCAGGAATCTCTCTCACTTAGGATTCTCTTCCTCACTGCTTCCCGCAGGATCTCCCGCGGCTGCAGGAGCCGGGCCAACGGCAAGCACGACGGAACGGCCCCCGGAGAAGGGGGACACTGTGTCACGGAAACGGCCTTTATTTCCTCCTTGGTCTCCTCCTTCTGACCCTCAGAGGGCACCGCGATTTGCAGGCCCTCCTGCTCTGACAGCTGCTGAGCCGGGTTGCCGAGGGGCCGGGAGCCGCCGCGCGCTCCTGCGGCCCGGCCCGGGCCTGGCACTGCTTGGGGCCAGCCGCGGCCGGGGGGCGGCCAGGACCCCCGCCTTCAGGCTGGCTGGGCCTGGCGGGGTCCGGAGCTGGGCCGAGGGTCCCGCCGGGCGAGGAGGGGCTGGCACTGCCCGTGGGACTCCCGCCCTGGTCGCCGTGGTCGCCCTGGTTGGCCTGCTCGGCCTGCTCGGCCTCGGGCTGCGGGCGCCGCCGCCGCCAGGCCTCCCTGCAGCCGTGCACGGTGACGTGGATGAGGCCGTGGATCAGCGGCGCCGTGTAGTCGCCCAGGTAGCTGCGCAGCATGTGAGTGAGCTCGGCGCGGTCGGGGCCGCAGATGCACAGCGTGGCCAGCGCGATGGTCTCCACCTGCCGCGCCTCCCACCACTGCGCGCCATAGATGGCGTCCAGGCTGTGCCGCAGCCAGGGCCGCACGGGCTCCAGCAGCCGCTCGTGGCCCTGCAGCAGCTCTGCCCACAGCTCGGCCGGGAACTCCTCCTCGGCCTGCGGGCCGGCGGGCTCCGCCGGGCCCGGCGTGGTGTAGACCAGGCGGAAGCGGGCGCGGCGGGCCCAGGCGCGGGGCTCGGGCGGCGCTCCGGCCGGGCTCAGCAGGCACTGCAGGAAATCGTCGCGGTCCAGCACGGAGAAGCGGGCGCTGAGCACGGGGCTGGCACACAGCGGGCACGTGGCGCTGGTGGCCGTGTGGCGCAGCAGGCAGCCCAGGCAGAAGCGGTGGCCGCAGGGCACGGCGGCCGTGTCGCCGTGCACGCCGCGGCACACCGGGCAGTTCCAGTCCGTCTGCGTGGCCTTGCTGACGCCCGGCGGGGCCGCGGGGAGGTACAGCGACAGGAGGCTCCCCATCGCTGGGCCTGCAGCTGGACTTGGGGATCCTGAAGGTCTCTTCCAGCCTCGGCGATTCTGTGGTTCTGAAGCGCTTCCAGGGCATGTCACGCGCTGCAGAATGGAGAGAGGCCGTGGGCACTGGCTGTCCTGGGCATGCAGGGGAGGAAGAAAGGGCCAGGCTCTGGAGGACACCCTCCCTGCTCCCCCGGCCCCAGACACCCTGTGAAGGTTCCCCACGGGGCTCACCTCCAGTGCTGCGTGCGCCACGGTGCCGGCTGCCCACGCCAGGCAGGGCTCGGGACATGGAGCGATGCTGCAGGACACGCAGGCAGCCCCCAGCCCACGGCCCCAGGACTCCCCAGGCCCCAGAGCTGCGCTTGGCAGCAGTCCAGGCTGGAGCCACGCTGGCCCTGCCACTGCCCACGTACAATCAGGGAGGGATGTGACATCACAACACAGCTCCCAGCGGTGTCACAGTCAGACGCTTGGTTTGTCACCCTCCACCAGCAGGTGACATCACAACAGCACAATGGTCCCCACAGCATCAGAGAAGAAGGAAAATACTGCTTCTTGTGTTTAACTGTTGTATTTCCATGCTGCTCTCAGCCAGCTGCATCCATGTCTGTGTGTTCTGTCCCTAACCCTGGCTGAGGTCCCCTGTGAGGGACAGCCCTGAGCCCACCCCCAGTCACAGCTTCACATGGAGACAGGGCTGGGTGGCTCCATGGGGCTCCCAGAGCACTTTCAGCTCTCTGATCACACCCAGAAAGCACAGGCACCCTTGCTCCTGGGGATGCTCCTAAATTGCAGAATCACAGAATGAGCCAGGCTGAAAAGAGCTCTGAGCCCACCAAGTCCCAGCTAGGACCTCACACCTCCCCATCAACTAAACCCTGGCACGAGTGCCACGCCCAGGCTTTGTTCAACCCCTCCGGTGACGGTGACTCCACAGCCCCTGGGCAGCCATTCCAGTGCCCGGCCCCTCTTTCACTGGGGAATTTTCTCCTGATGTCCAGCCTGGCCTTCCCCTGTGCAGCTCCAGCTGTGCCCCCTCGTTCTGCCCTGGCCACCCGGAGCAGAGCCCAGCCCCACCTGGGCACAGCCACCTTTCAGGAGCTGCAGAGAGAGGAGGTCACCCCTGAGCCTCCTCTTGTCCAGGATGAAAACCCCAGCTCCCCCAGCTGCTGCTCACAGGGCTTGTGCTGCAGACCCCTCCCCAGCCTTGCTGCCCCTCACAGGGCTTGTGCTCCAGACCCCTCCCCAGCCTTGCTGCCCCTCACAGGGCTTGTGCTCCAGACCCCTCCCCAGCCTTGCTGCCCCTCACAGGGCTTGTGCTGCAGACCCCTCCCCAGCCTTGCTGCCCCTCTCTGGACACGCTCCAGCCCCTCCATGTCCTTCCTGAACTGGGGGCCCAGAACTGGACACAGCACTTGAGGTGCTGCCCAACCAGTGCTGAGCACAGGGGAAGAATCCCTGCCCTGCTCCTGCTGGCCACACCATTCCTGACCCAGGCCAGGAGGCACTGCCCTTCATGGCCACCTGGGCACACTGCTGGCTCGTGTTCCACCACTGCTGGCCAGCACCCCCAGCTCCCCCTCACCCCTGCCTGAAGCCTGGCTCTCCTCTTTCCCCAGCTCGTGGGTGGGGCAGTGCTGAGGAGCCAAATGGCAGAGGGGCTGCACTGACACTCGCTCCTGGCCCTGCCTGTGCTGCCAGCCCAGCCTCGGCCCCACCTGAGCTGGTGTTACCTGGGCACTGGCGCTCCTGGGTGCAAGCAGAGTAACAGGGGTTGTGTGTGTGTGCCCAGTGGTGTTTTCACGTGACAGAGGCTTTGCAGCACAGCTCTGTAGCTCGCAGTGCCACGTGGGATTGGCCAGGTGAGCACTGCATTCTGCCCTAACAAGGGAAAGGCCAGCACAGCAGCTGCAGTTACCTGGGGCTGCTGTAAAGAAAGCTGAAAAGACACAGCAAAGGAGGGTGGGAGTGTGCTTGCAAGATAAAAATCAGTATTTTGTGCCTGGTTGTTACTTGTGCTGGAGGCACCCCAGGAGCAGCCCATCCAAACCACCCTGGAAAAGGGTTAATGGTCATGAACAGCCAAAGACATTCTGGTTTGCTGTAATGAGTACAGCTTAGACTTAGGGGAGAAATTTCCTCCTTCAAAATTAAGCAATAGCTGTAGATGAAGACTACACTTGTCCCTTGAGAGGACAGGTACAGACTCTTTAATAGCATTAACCCCAGGTCAGGGTGGATAAACACGTTTTCTCTCACTAAACTGGCTGTAAGCACTACAGAAATGCCAATGTGCATCACACAAAGCTGTTTTTTCCTCTCTGCTGTGGCATTAACCACAGCATTCAACCATGTGCCAGTTACCAAACACAGATCAGTACTTCCCCCAGCACAACTGCAAGTCAAGGAGAAAAACTGCACATTATACATTTAACTTCCTACAAAGTGCAACTTCTGCTTAATTGCTGCCTTTTTTTTTTTCCCCTCCAAAAGTTAAGAATTTTTTTTTTCCAAGAGGAATACAAAATAATCCATGGTACAACATTAGGTCCACTTATAAAGACAAGAAGATCTTATTTATGTCTTCTGTAAGTCAGAGTACAAAACAGTATTAATACAGTAGAAGTCTTCTTTACATCATCAGTATGGTGACTTTTCAGGTGTAAATTTCAGCCTCCTCTTTCCAGAAGGGCTAAACTTCCAAACACCTTTTTTTTTTTTTTGAGAGTGTGAATTCGAATAAACCCTCCAAATGCTGACAACTTACGGAACGTGTACTCAGGAAGCACACTGCACAACTGCAGAGTATATTAAGACGTGTAAAAATACAAATAATTTAAGCGCGACGCTGCTAAATCTCTGGTCTCTTTCAAACTGGTTTCAGCCCTTTATTTCTCTCTGGCAGCACCCTCAGGCAGTGTCATGGCTCAGCAGAGGCCATGAGCACGGGGCTCAGGCCGGCCCTGCAGGGCAGGGGGGCTCCGGGAGCTCCCTGGGGGCTGGCAGCAGCCCGGGCTGTGCGCGGCTCGGCAGCCCCGCAGGGCAGGGCGTGCCGCGGTCTCTCACTCACTGTCGTACTCCTCGATCCTCAGTTCCTCCTCCTCCAGGAGGGCCTGCGCTGCCACGGGCTGCGGCTGGCTGCCGGGCAGGTCGCTGCCGCTGGACTGGCTGGAGGGGAGCCCCTCGGGGTCGCCGTCCCCGTGGGACAGCTCCGGCACGCCGGGGTCTTTGTCGCCCAGAGCCTCCAGCTGCAGCCTGCAAAGCACCGGGAGCGCGGCTGAGCGCGGCACACGCTCGTGCTGCCCGGGCAGAACCTCCTCCCTTCCCAGAGGGGACTGCTCAGGAACACACTGCTCTCCAGCAGGGCCCCAGGGAGCAAGCACCTGCATTTCCTCTGTGCTGAGCAGGTGGGAAAGGATGACAGTGCTTTCAGCAGGGTGTCACCCCCGGGATCTGACACTGTGACACCCCACCGATTTATTAATGCAGATACAAAATGTCAGTATCCACAGGTATGCTGCAGGGAAACTCAAAAGGGACAAGGAAGTTACAGTTAATTTGAGAAACTTCACACCTTGTGGTGCAGTCCAGGGGGATTACAAAGAAATACATTCCTTAGGGATACTCTTCTTCCTCCCTGACTAACAGCCAAAATGGCTTTTAATACAACAGCTGGGGAAGAGGGTGGCTCCTGGAAATACAGCTTGGAAATTCACAGTTTAAACTCAGCAGCAACACCAGGGACAAGTAGGAGATGCTCTGTCAGCTGCCTCAACAAACTGTGTCCTAGTTAGGAGACAACAGTTTGTCTCACTGCAGCTCTGAGCTTGATTCTTTGCTAAAACCACACCAATTAAAACACTTTTTAAATTCCGGGGGCACCACAGCCATAGAAGTGTAGCTGAGGCTCTGCTGGGGCAAATGAAGTCTCGGATCCAGAGGGCTCACAAGGCTCACAGCAGGGCACTGCAGTCCCACAGGGGAAACCCTGGGCTCTCAGCAGTCAGCAGCCAGAGCCTGATGAGAAACCATGCATTCTCAACACAGGTCTGCTCTAAGCAGCCTTACAGGCAAAACTTCTACCAGATGAAACCCGTGCAGCTGTCTAATTTCAGATTAAATAAACCTTGAAAAATACTTTGAATGTCACATGACAGACTTATGTAATGAAAGGGTTCTTCCCCTTCATATATGACACAGTCTCACTTCTTAACTACAGACAGAAGTTCAGCTTACCTCCCAAACTGTCTTTTCAGTGGCAGCCTCCCCACGTCTTGGATAAAAGCAATCTGAGCTAAGAACAAAGAGCCACAAGTATCACACCAGGCAGATCATAATGAACACACAGCTGAGCACACCAGAAAATAAACACTGACCTTAGCTGAGTATCCCTGTGTATATTTGAAATATTTTAGATACCAGAACACTGTGCATGCAACTTTTTTTCCCCCAACCTGTTACAGTTTACCACAACACATGTACAGATGGCCTACACACAAAATTCCAAATCCCTGACATTCATCCCCTGTGTATTTATCATGTAAAGCTGTTATTCTATAGCCTACAAAATTCACTCATCCTGATGTCAAGGCCTGAGTTAAGACATGATGCTTTTTATTATAAACAATTAACAACAGCAGAAGTGACCCAGCTCTCTACATACTAATTTTTGCATTATGTATCACTCAAAGTAAATTTTTCTGCATGAACTATTTGCTAATGGATTATCTCAGATTTAACTGTCTTTTTTTTTAACACACTCCAACTGGAATTTTGCTTCTTTTATCTGTGAAAGGCTTTCTGAGCTGCTGTGTGTTGCTGTTACTGGAAAGGGGTAGGAGCATATTCACAGGAAAATGGACGTGTACTAAATGAACCAGCCTAACCTTCTGGAACTAAGGAACAAGGTTATCTGTGTGGATAAAAAAGCTGATGTTGCAAGAAGAAAGTAGAGGCAGAAAAGTTGGTAACAGACAAAGGGGTGTCAACCCCAGTAAAATGATGCTTACAGCTTCTAGCAATTGGATTAATAAAAAGATGTGTGCTTGCCTCATGGACAAAGCCAAGCTGCCAATCAAGGAATGCATGACTGTGTAGACCAAGACTAGAAGTAAATATCAACTATGTTTAGAGGCACAATAAATGGCTTTTGCTTGATTCACATTGAATCATGCAGAGTCCTTTGTCTCCTCAGAAAGCAATGAAGATCTAGCCAGTATTGGCTGCTGGCTTTCCAAAACTCTTCTCATCAAATCCTCCAGCAAATATAATCACAGCCCTAAGTCTACAGAGCACCTGAGTCACTACAGTTTGACCCAAGCTACCAGGGCAGATTTAATTGTGGCTGTGGTACTGGAAGCATCTTTGGGCATCACCTACATAACATTTGTTTCATGCTGAGGCAAAAACATAAACAGCAATGACCTTTTGGCTTATGGAATTTGTCAGTATGTTTCAACTGCAAAAACACTGCAAGATCAAGAGTTACCTTGATCCATCTTACCTTGGTTTCTCATTGGGTTTGCTAACATAGCAAGATAAGGCAGCAGCTCTGTCTGAAGGCACTCAGGTGGTAAACAGAAGCTTGAGAACAGGGATTTTGCAGCAATGCAATTGTCCTGATACTGAAAGAGGAGGGGGGAAACACAAGTGAAAAACCTGGTAAATTAGCAATGTAGATGTTCTGTACCACAACATGCAGACTTTCTTCCTGCCTGCTACAGGAGCTACAAGAAATGAGACCAGATAAAGAAAAGGCAAGCAGTTAACATACCAATCTTAAAAACTGTAGAATCTTTCAAATTTGCCTTTTACTGGGCATTAAAATTAAAAAAAAAAATTATTCCTTGATTACAGAATTCCCAGCCCATTGAGGTTTACCAACATATTAGTTTTTAGCAACATTTTAGTTTTTTTACCAACATTTTTTACCAACATTTACCAACATATTAGTTCAAATGTAAGAAAATGCCAAGCCCTGCTGTGTCACCTGAACAAGCTATTTCTGATAAACACATAAACCATAACAGCAGGCATTTCTTACATTCATACAACAGTTCAGTGTGCTTCAAACTGCACAAAACCAGACTCAGTTCTAGAAACACTTAACAGTACTTAGTTGTGTCTCTATTAATTTAGGATTAAGACTCTCCCAGGAACATGCCAGCTTGGACAGAGGCATCAGACTTTGTCAGTGGCTTCCAATTTATTTTTACATTAAAGGAGTGATGCAAACTGCTCTTCTAGCAAGTGCTTTATAGAACCAGGCTATATCAAAATAGGGTATTTGACAAGTTTAGCACTGTGGTCAAATATGATCTATACTACTGAACAGTCACACCTTAGGGGAGAAAGAATTTAGAAAAAACAAAATCAAGGATTTACCTTTTTATTGATCAAGAACCACTGGGGTTTGTGCAAGGGTCGGAAGCCCATGCCTCCCTGCTGGTGGGCAAAGGCTCTGGAGGTGTTGGAGTGGATCACCCCCCGGGTGGCCACGGAGGCACTGTAGCTCTCCATCACAAGCCGTGCCTGAGAGAGAAAAGGGGCCCTGGGTGAGCTCCAGGCAGCTCATTTGCACTGAGACACACGCAGTGGCACAGCATGCTCAGCTTTCTGAAGCTCACATTACTGCAAAACTTGTATGCAAAGCAGCTGAGAAAAGAAACAGCTTGATTCCTTCTTAGCAGAAACATATTCCACTCAGAAATACTTTGCAGAGTATCCTAGAAACACTACAACCCATTGTAATGAAATGCTGACAGAAGCTGGAGAAAACATTGGCTCTGCATCTCTTCTGCAGCTGCTGTACTTCAGCATTCATTAACAATTCAAATCACTCACACCCTCAGTTTGTAGAAAACTCTCAGAAACACAAGGGTTCAATATCAAAGTACTTAAAGACAAGTGTGTGCCTATACAAAGATGACACTTACACTCCAGTTACTGCAAAGGACATCAGCAGTGCTCAGATATTCACTGGCTCTCACTACGTCATCTATGTCAGGAAAAAAGTCCACGTAGTTCTGGTGAAGGTACAGGTTGAACATGCTTCCAGACATATGTGATTTCTCCACAATTTCCTGGCAGGAAGACAAAACATTGGCGCTGCATCTCTGCTGTACTTTAGCATTCATTAACAATTCAAATCACTCACACCCTCAGTTTGTAGAAAACTCTCAGAAAAACAGTAAAAAGCACAAGGGTTCAATATCAAAGTACTTAAAGACAAGTGTGTGCCTATACAAAGATGACACTTACACTCCAGTTACTGCAAAGGACATCAGCAGTGCTCAGATATTCACTGGCTCTCACTACGTCATCTATGTCAGGAAAAAAGTCCACGTAGTTCTGGTGAAGGTACAGGTTGAACATGCTTCCAGACATATGTGATTTCTCCACAATTTCCTGGCAGGAAGAAGAAGAGTTTGGGTTTTACAGGTGGATAAGGAAAAGGACCCTAGTATGAAAGGCTGGGGCGCTTCCAGGCCAGGGAGCTGGAACACAAGGCCTGTGCAGTGATGCCCACACACAAGGGGCTGGTGATTCCCTCACTCACACTGGAGGCACACCAAGTGAGGGGGCCAGAACAAACCCCACATGCTGAGGGCCCAGGTGCACCCGTGGGGGCACTGCAGGAGTACCTCAGGCTGAATGAGCAGCGTGTCCCGGCGGTGTCTGCACAGGTGAGCAGGCAGCTGAGGGCACTCTGCTTCTGGCACTGCTTCTCCTGAAAACGAGTGCACAGCCTTTATGTTCACAAATGTCAGCAACTGTCAGCCCCACCAGCAGCTAAATTACAGCCTTTTCCATTCCCAGAAAGCTCTGGGACAGGCACAGGTACCTAATTATTATAGTCAATATTACACAGTCAGCAACACACAATTAGTTGCATTAAGCTCCATATAGCACATCTAACAAAGTAATTTTTGTATTCCCTCACCTCAGTACTTCTCCTCATTTGGTTTTGGAGCCAGTACTGGGATTGCTACCAAAATGTGCACAGCCAGTGGCATTAGGGACCCTGATGTAGCTGATTTTATGCTGTTGTGACTGACCAGACAGAGCCCATCCAAGGCTTTACTGTAGCAACTCCAGCTAGTAGCAGCTGACATGCTTTGCCCACTGAAAGGGAGAATAAGTCAAAGTTTTCTTACTTTTGCAATAAATAATTTTCCCCAGAGCATGGAAAAGGAAAATGGATGCATCCTTGCCACCAATTGCTTGTATCTCCTGGTCTTCTGAGGTATCACATTTACTTTTCTTTCGTACTTTGGATACTCCTGCTTCCTCACATTTTACTGTGGAGCTCTTCTTCTTCTTTGACCAAAATTCTTTCTCCAATGAGCAGCCTACTTAATAAAATAAAAAATAAAATCAAGACAGAGAACAGGACTCTACAGAAGTTTTCTATTATGCTACTGCTGATGCTATTTCTACTATGCTGTGCTGTGTGAACAACCAGTACTAATAAAAGGAACAGAACAGGCCATATAAATGGGAGCACTCTGAGGAAACTCATTTATTAGGAACACAAATCAGGTACCTAAATTAGCATCATTCATTACCTTCATTCCACCTCTGCCCCTTAAGCCACAGCTGAGGTACCAAGTACTTTCCTGAACAATAAACAGCTGTCTTTGAAAAAAGCTTTCAGGCTTATCTGCCTTGTAGTTCTGACACATTCCCCACTTGACCAGGTTTAAATTTCATGTTTATGAAGAACAAGTACAAATATTTGTAACTGTTATTTCAGTTACATCCTGTTTACTTATCAATTTTGTCTTCTACTGACATTATCTGTACAAAACCTCCCTCCCTGAAATATAAAGTGGCAAAGAAAACATTTCATTTAGGTGATTCTTCCAACTGCCTACTATCTTCCACAAAGTTCTGAGCTTCATAAAATAAAACCCTTATTCTACTCTATATTAATAAACTTGAAATTTTTCACCCACAATTTCATTTCGTGGCATTTGAATGTTCCTTACTGAGCTCAGATAAATTATCCTTTAGGTATTTATTTTTCTTTTCTCCCACAATTACCATGGATCTATTTTACCCATTAATAGTGTCAGGAAATGAATGTATCCATGATGTGATAGACACACACATGAAGAAACACACTTTACATACATAAAAAAAAAAAGCTGCATGCTCAGGAGACCAGCAAGGAGATGGGGAATCTCCCAGACTTATTAAAAGCTACACAAACTGGTTATTTTAACATTACTTAGATTTTGTGCAGGATGTGTCCAGCAGTGAGATGCTGCATGCTTTTCTCAGATATCACCAATCTGATATTCACTCATACTAATGGCATTATCACCCCACTGAGAGCAATCCTGTTTTTCTGATTCACACAGAACAATCCAAGCCTGGTACACCTGCAGACTTCATCAGAATAACTGACCTTCAACATCTGCAAGTTAAATGTAGAAACTTTACTCTCTGTCTTGTGTAATGTAACTAACACTGCCCAGCTAATTCCAATATACTCTAAAACTCAAAGTAAACACTCCCTCTTAAAAAATGGGCTTGAAACTACCTTTAACCTTGTATTCCATGAGCATATTTGCTGCTTGCAAAGCAAATGGGAGGGACAAAAAGTGTGACAGTAACAACACCATTGCTACTCTACCACATACAGCAGAAGACAATTGCTGAGTCTGTTTCCTTAGGCCTAAGTTTAATGTGAATGGTGTCACCATTTCACAGTCCTGAGAATGAACAACACGTGCCAGGGTGCAGCTTTTAAAAATGCAACTCGCATACACCAGTTCCTTAACAACTCCTGACTTGTGAAATGCTCATAAAATCACAGTTTGGGAAATGCAGAAACCAAGGAATGACAGTACCCCTTCCAAACTAAAGCTGCACCTAAGGCTGCAGACAGACAGCGCAACAAAAAGATGTGAACAAGACAACAAATTTATATAAAGTTATTTGTGGTGTTTTTGTAACTGAACACAGCAGCACCACTTCTGCCATATCAGTCCATGCTTCACAAAGAAAATGAAACTCTGACTAGTTGCAGACTTTAGATTTATTATCTGTTTGTATCATACAAGCAAAAAGCAAGAGACACAAAAAAATAACAACATCCATGCAAATCCAAATCAAAGACAAAAGAGCAGATTAAGCAAATCCTTTTTCTACATATTCTTTGAACGAATAGCATAAAAAATATATAGAGTCCTTATAATCTAGCCAATTAAAAAAAAGACCACCTGCCTTTAACATTAACAAAAAGACTTCTATAAACCTCAAACAATTCACGATAGTTCATTATTTAAGATTAAAACTTTCCATCTTTGCAAAACATATATCTAAAACTTCTCACATCTTAAATTATCAGTAAGTACTTATTCTTTCTTCTTCCTTATAATAAATATAAATATATTCACTTAGTTTTAACTTAGTTTCCCACAAAAATATTTAAGAATTTCCTAACCTTTCTTAGCTTTATGTCTACTTCCTAAGACTTTTCTGCACTTTCTAAAGTCTTTTGCCTTTTTATATTCCTACAGAAACTGAAGAGCAAACACAAACAGCAGAGATACCAGGAAGAAAAGAGGGTATTTCACCACATCCCATCAGCACATGCACAGTGTCATGGCTTAAGCCCAGCCTGCAACAGCTGAGCCCCACTCACCCCCTGTGTTTATTCCTGCTCCACAGGAGCGTGTCCAGAATGCTTCTGCAACTCACCCACCTGTGCTGCAGCTGTGAACAGAATGTGTTTTCTGCAGAAATGGTCAAAATATCACTTCACCTCACAAAACCGTCACTTTTACCTTTTGTAGAGGAGAACTGAAGGCTGTTTATTGCACTTCTTATGTCACCTGAACAACCTCTGCAAAGCAGCTCCAGAGAAGTTCTGTCAAGCGTGCAATTCTCTCTGTTCTACAAGGAAAAACAGCATTCAAAGCAACAGAAGAGCAGGAAAATGAGTGTTTAAACATCTGGGAACCCACCCCTGACACACAGCAAGAACAGACCCACCACAGGCTCAAACCACATAACACTGTGAACTTTAAAAAACCTTAATTTGTTTAAGCACACTGTCACAATTTATATAACAATATTAAAGAGAAAAATGCACATAACTCTTTGCAAAGTGTCACTCAATATGATATTGCTGGTAATCAAAACAGTTCAGGAACAATACCATACTTAGGTTCACGACCTCTTCTGGCCTCAGTGGATGCATGAAAAATTATATCTCTTCCTATTATTTGTTTCATTTATATAGTTACTGTAATAACCAGAGTAATTTTCAGAAGCAATTTTGCAGACTTGGACCACAGGTCAAGTAAAACTAATCTTAAAAACAAAGTATCTTTCTAGCTTGTTCCTTTCTTCTGTTGCTCTGGGGAGATGTGTGGCTCAGCTGCCAAAGATCAAATACAGTAACAAAAACAACACATTTTTACATGGTCCTAGCCCTGCACATTATGAGTTTGACAACTTACCATAGAGGCTTCTGCTGCAGCTATTCGATTGAGAACTTTCATCATATTTGTTGGTGCAACAGGCTTGAAACTGTTGAATTCCATTAAAAAAAAAAAAAAAAAATTAGTTTCTAACCTCTCAGTAATTTGTACCATGTTTTAATGAGGTAGAAGATCTCACCTAATATTGCATATACACAACTCCTCCACAATGTCAGTGGGGAACAGTGACCTCTGGTTGCTGTCTCCACTGAAGTTATCTGAGATTATGAAGACCAGGGGGCACCTGCTCCTGCGAGCAAAACTCCTGCACAGCAGAACAACAAAATGAGATGAATATTAAACAGCAGCCTCACAGGTTGCTCATAATTAACAACTCCTTTGCCACTGACCTGAGGATTTCATGCAGGCTGCCAGGATCTCGGTAGAATTGGTTAGGAATGTCCTGTCCAAAACAAAGAGCTGCTGTCATGACATTCACATGTAAATATTCTCCTCCACAGACTGATGTCATGGCACACATTTCACACTCCTGGTTTGCCTGCTGTCAACTACATTTAAACACAGCTGACACTGGACAGAGGAGCAGCAGGGGGAAACAAACCCAAAGCACAGTGTGTCTCATTAAGGAAAATGATCATCTACAAAGGAATGTTTTCTCACTGCCTCAGTTCCCTAAGACACAGCCTTGGGTGATCACACTGCCTGTGAAGAGGAGTTTCACCCACAGAACAACACTGCAGGAAGCAGCTCCCTTGGGGAAAACACATGTGAGGTGTGACAGGACCTGCACAAGAAGGTGACTTAGTAAAGACAAGTCTTATGAGACTCTGCTTCCTAAATTCTACAGTACACATTACCCTGCCAGAATTTCTGTCTGTTTTGGTCTTGAAAGTTTATAGACAACCTGACTAGCCATTTCTAAAATTTATCTTGGGAAAATAATTGAAAACCTCAGAAAGAAATTGCTATTGAAACACACTTCTTCACAAGCACAAATAAAGCCTTGTACCTGCCCAGAAACCCTGAGTTCACACCTGTGCCCTAAACAACACACCTGTGTAAAACCAGGCAGAAAGTGCTAAATTTCAACTGCTCCTGCTTGGGTTCATTCTCCAGTGTCCCCTATACTCCCCTGCATCATAAAAGAACAGGAGCAGTGGTGTGTTTTCCACTCTTCCTGTTTATACACATACATATTTCTGGAAATTAAACCATCCAGAAGCGTGGGAATGACTTCTCAATATTGATCTGCTTTTTGACACTCTGTGCTCACACCAGACTCCCATTTCTGCCTCACTACTTCCTTCTGTGGCACAACTAACTGCAGGACGTGGCTCTAGGCTGCTGCAGAGACACAAACAGTAACGAAGATCTCATCTGCAGAAAGCAGGCTAGCTTTGGGAAACACCACTCCAGTATCTGAAGGCACTCAGCACGCCAACACTGCAACAAAAGGCATTGTTTTAAACACAACATTGCACAAGTTTTCACTTACTTCAATAAGAATAAGCTTTTTATCATTTTCTGAGGACTCCCCAAGCATCTGAAGTTTGTTATACTTATTTGCTCTTAATAGAAAATCTTGAAAGAGAGCTGTTTGGGCCTGACTCGGAAACGTATGAAAATTTGAGTCTGAAAAAGAAAACTAATTAAAAATATGTATTCTATATTATACCAAGTAAAATATAAATACCACACCAACTAATACCCACCCGTGTTATTTTCTGACAGCAGCACTGAACAAGCCCTTTGGCAAACGTGACAAACACAGGAGAATTTTTAAAGGGGTGTAATTCAACTGAGGACCTAAAGACACTTACCTGTTTCATTTATTTGGTTCAGATTATATCCAGGATATTACAGAGCTCTCTATACTGATTTGAATTGTCAATTATTTTGGACTAAACACTAAAAAAACCTAAATCCCCTTCCAGATAAAAGCCACAGAATGATTCTCATTAAACACTATGGAATGGACTTACATGGATGTGGATCTGATTTCATACACAACAGACAGAAACAAAGCAAAAACACAAGATAGAAAACCCACAAAATTAACTGTAAGGGGAAAGAAAAAAAGAAAAAACCCCAACATACTTACCATGGCCAAACATGTTCCTCAAGTCTTCCTTTGTGAAGTCTAAAGAGAGTGGATTGGTCCATTCTTGCACCTGAAGGCCAAGATCTCTGGCTAGAATTTGCAGAGTTGCAGTTTTTCCACAGCCAGGAGGGCCAGTCAGCAGCAAGACAGAGCCACCCTGACACAGAGATACAAAACACAATCACAGATGTGGTAAACAAAGACAGCTGGCTAGGGATGAATATGGGTTGAACTTCTCCTGCAGTTTCTCTGGTAAGGATCCTCTCTCCCAGTGAAAGCCCAGTCACACAATCTGTTAATTCACCTGCTGAGTACTCAGACAGAGAGAACCAGGACTCTGGGAACCTTGCTCAGCTCCTAATGCCTCTGCTAAATAAACTGCATGTGACTGCCAACACAACAGACACTCACCTGAGGAATTAGCTCTGGAAAACACTGGGCAAGGCTGGCAATTTGTGTCTAAGAATGCCTCTGATCAATCGACATTAAAAACATCCTCACTAGCCTCACACCAGCTCAGTGCAACTGCAATGTTTAAGTCATGAGACTTAAAAATTAATCTGGCAGAAATAAAATGCAGTTTCAAGCACATACTGAAGAGCTGTGATTCATGACTGGATGCCAGAAAACAGTATTTCTGAGCAAAATCAGAATCCACCTCTTAGGAGCATAAGCCCAAAATAAATGTAAAAGCTCTACCCTATGGTCTTAGAGTATTTCTTACAATGCACAAGATGCACAGTGACTATGTCCCTCAGTTGAGGTTTCTCTCTGACCTTGAAATTGCATCCAGCTCATTTGTATGGTTTGATGCTTCCACTTACAGATTTTAGCAAGTTTACCTGCTTTGGCTGCCTCTGAAATATGTGTGTTTTTAACCAGGTTTCAACTTCCTCAATCTTCTTCTTTTGCACAGCAAGGTCACTCTGAAACAAGGTTAAAATATGTGAAGGTTATATATATATATGAAACTCTTGGTTTCTAATGATGAAATTAAATAGAATAAATGCTGGACCACCACAGACACCAATGCTGGGCACCAACAGACGTGTTGGTGTGTGTTACAGTTACATGTGTGCTCTGCAGAAGCAATGCTACAGTTAAGGATGATCATCCTGTCTCCTTAATCAGTTTTCCATTTTTGTAGTCAGGAAATAATGAGCTATTTATTATCCTTTAACTGGTACCACTACAATCTTGCTGAAGCTAGTCCTTTTTATGTTTTTTGTAACTTCTACAAATCCCACACAGCTGTGTCCCCCCAGTGCTAGGAGTAGCAGACGTGTCTGGAATTCAGTAACAGGTTGGAGAGTTTACAGCTGGACTGACAGGAAGCAACACCTCCTGAGCAGCTTTCCCTGCTGAGGAAGCCTGGGGGAGCGCGTGCCTGCTGTGCCAATGTGGGGGACCTGGCCAAGGAAGGTGCTGTGTCACAGCAGCCCCCCAGCACGGGGACAGCTGCTGGCTGGCACAGCTGGGCTGCCTCGGGCACCGGGAGCCGCTGCACGCCTGGCTGGGACAGCTGTGGGACAGGAGGAGGCTCTGGGAGAGCTCCCTGGGGAGTGGCAGGCAGCCATCCACCAGCACTGAGAGCCAACCAGCGACCCAGAAGGCCTGTGCTTTGGCACAGGGGGTGGGTTAGAGGGAGGGCAGGGGCCAGCTCTCACACCTGGCTCTCAGGCCTGTATCTCTCCACCCACGGCAGCTCCTGCTGGGCCTGGCTGCGGCAGGGCAGATCGGCGGCGCCCGGCTTGCTTCTCTTCCTGCCACGAGCTGGGGCTCTGCTCCTCTCTGCCACGGGGCTCGGGGCTCTCTGCTTCTGCCCACGGGCTCTGCCCCTCAGCGGCCTCACGGCGCACAGGCCGAGGCCTGTGCTCCCAAAGAAGCCATCGAAGGGACGTGCCGGCCGCTCTGCCACCTGCGGGAACACAAACCTCTGGGTAGGAACACTGCAGCCTCCTCCCCCTCAGCTGGGCACCTGCAAAATGCAAAATTTTTGTCCCTGGCAGTGCCCCAGGCCAGGCTGGACACCGTGGGGGGTGTCCCTGGCGTGGCACTGGGGAAGAGAGAGGAAGAAAATTATCTGTAATGATACTTTTCTCTCCAGAGTTTCTGACAGTGGAGCACTGTTACAGCTGGCACCAGAGAAACAGGAGCAGTTATTTCTGCAGTGAGGGCTTTATGTACAGTGCCCACTCTGTCCTCCGCTGCTCAGGCTGCATTCAGGCTCAGCAGCTTGTTTGTAAATCACCCAGTTTTCCTTCTTTCCCAAACACAGTGTTTGGTCCTTCCAGCCACAACTGGTCCGGGGTTCTGTGATTCTTCTGTGTGAAAAAGAAAGCTGCATCATTGTGCCAGGAGTATTCTGCAGCAAACTGGCAAATGAGAACAAGCTGAGAACTCCACGAACACACACCCGACCTAAAGAATTAAAAATTAATGGAAAAGCAGCATCAGCTTACTCAGACCTCTTTTATATGATGGTAATGTTCACAGTGTCTCTGTAGTCTTCAGTATCTGGCGCTTTCCCCCAGCTTTTTAAAAATATTTACAATGCAACCATTTGTGCGCAGAAGCTAGAAATATTTGGCAGAGGACAGCTACTGAGGCAGCACAGTAAAGTCAAGGAGTGTTTGGTGCTTGGGGCAGCTGGGGCTGAAGCAGAGCCTGTGCCAGGACAAGGAGCAGTGCTGAGCAGCACCAGGATTTGACTCTGGATTAGAGGAACACCCCGCTGGGCCAGGGAGGCAGGCTCACCCCCAGCAGCACCACAGGGGCCCGTGGCAGCCCCAGGCTGGTGCCAATGCCCAGGGTGAACGTGTGACAGCACAGACACTGCCTCCCCAAAAGGGCTGTGAGACCCTAGGCCCGTGGCAGCCCCTCGGTGTGGGGTGAACGCCAGGGTGAACGTGTGACAGCACAGACACTGCCTCCCCAAAAGGGCTGTGAGACCCTGGGCCAACACAGCAGGACAGAGCTGGCTGCAGCCCGAGGCTCTGCTGCAAGGGGCTCAGACAGCTCCACAAGGCCCTGCTTGCAAAGCCCCAGCGGGAAATGCAGGAGGGGGTCACGCTGCTTTTGGGGTGAATAATGCTGAAAGCAGCCCGAGTCCTCCATCCCAAAATTCCACATCCTCTGAGGGAGCTGAAGCTGTGGCAGAGCTGGAATAATCCCCAGAGAAAGGAACAGCCAAGTGACACCACTGAGAGCTCCTGCAGAGCTGGCCCAGCCTGGCGGGGCAGCACTTCACACTGGAAATGCCCCATCCCAAATTTTACCAGCAGCACCTCCTGACGTTTCCCTTCCCGTGGTGTGATCCCAGGGTCACTGCTCCAGCTGGGCCACGTGCACACAGCCTGGGTGAGGGCCACTCTCTGCTCTGTCACTGCTCCTGAACTGTCACACAGCCACCCCAGTGCTCAAGGCTGGAACTCCAAGAAGCAAAGGGCAGCCTGCCCTTCACATTCCCACTGCTGACAGAAGCACATTCACACTTCAGCTCTGGCTCCAGAGCAGTGCTCACTGCTGCACTGGGCAGTGAACAGCCCTGCTTCTGATCTCTTTGTCGTTATCAAATGTGTCTGGCAGCCTCAGTGCTGCAGGGCGAGGCTGTGAGGTTCAGGGACATCGGCACAGCTCTGGGGCTGGCACTGCACCCAGAGCCCTCCCTGAGGGGCTTGGGGCAGTTTATGGGAGGTTTTGGGGTTTCTCCTCCTCATAACATAACCACCCCGGGCTGTGATGGGGCCCAGGCTCCAGACCCCGAATCCCCCCCCGGGCTGGGACCCTGCACCCCAAATCCCCCAGGGCAGGACCCCAGCCCCCAGGGAGCCTTGCCAGAGGTGCCTCCTGCCATCCCAGGGGAGCAGCAGCAGCCTCTGCAGGCTCCTGTGGCCCTAGCGATGACAGAAAAGCACGCTTCACTCAGAGTGCACGGCTGCTGCTGGGACTGTTTCAGGGGCGAGAGGCAGGCTGCACCCCGCCCTCGTGCTCCCCACGGCACAGACTGCACCAGAGGATCTGAGAGTCCCCCCTGCGACTGGGACAGTGCCCACATCGAGACCCTTTCCCGGAGATCTCTCTCCCAGACATGTCCCGACACGTCTTGCCCGCTGTCTGCAGCCCTGCTCACTGGCACTAACATCATCCCGCGCTGGTTCTAGTCCCCTCTCTGACGGGTTAGAAAGCGGGGGGTGTGGGGCGGTGTACGGGAGGTTCTGGGGGTCCCTCCTGCACCTTGTGGCTCAGCGGGAGCTTCTGTGACAAGCGGTGTCCGTGCCCCGGCCCCGCCACTGCCGGGCTCCCGTCAAACAGCGCCGTCCCTCCCGCAGGCAGCCACACCAAACCCAATCTCGCTCAGCCAAGATCAGAGCAGCCCCCATGGAAACAGGACAAACACGCGCAGGAACGAGCGGTCCCGCACCCACCTCCGCCGGCCTTCCCGGGCCGCTGCCGGACATCCTCGCCCGGGGGAGCCCGGCGCCTGCGGCCCGCTGCCGGGCCCCGCCGCAGATCCGAGGCCAGGGGACTTGGTGCCCCGGGGGAAGGCAGGGCCCCGGTGCGACTCCTCCCGGTGTGTCCCGGTGCTGCTGGCGGAGGCAGAGCCCCGGTGTGACTCCTCCCGGTGTGTCCCGGTATCCCGGGCAGCTCCCGGCGCTCCCGGCCCGGCCTCGTCCCCTCACACGGCGCCGAAGGGTCCTTCCTCCCCGCCGTCCCTTAGCTGCCCCCGCCGCGCGGCGCAGCGCGGTGACGCCATCGGCGCGCGCGGCGGCGGCGGAGGCCCCCCGCGCACGTGTCTCCAAGGCGACGGGCGGCGGCCATGAGGCGGCCGAACGTGCTGATCACCGGTGGGCACCGGGGACACCGGGGCGGGGGCCCGCGCTCCCTGGGGGCTCGGGGACCCAGCCCGGCGGGAGTTGGGGTCTGGGGCCCGGGGCGGGTGCGTTATGAGGCAGCGGCCTGGCTGCTCCGGGGTGCGGGGTCGCAGCCCGGCGCGGTTTTGCAGCTCCCCGCCTTCGTGAGGACGCGCGGCTCCCCCGCGTTACCGAGGGCTTTCGGAGGAGTGCAGGTTCCCCCGTCCTGCACGCCGTGAGTGACATTCCGCTCACAGTCCGGCTTCTCTCCCTGTTGTCCCGTTTCACCGCCCTCGCTTGTTTCTCTTTGCCCTGCAGCTTTTTGCGCGTTTTCATCCCATGGACTCTCCAGCGTGGGCTGTCAGAAGGTTCCAGTCACCTGGCAGGGGCTCTTTGGGGGCGCCTGAAGCTCTGCCCTTACCTCTGGCTGTGGTTTGTCCTGCAGGCACGCCGGGAGTTGGGAAAACCACGCTGGGGAAGGAGCTGGCCTCCAGAGCTGGGCTGAGCTACGTCAACGTGGGCGACCTGGCCAAGGAAGGTGCTGTGACACGGGCACAGCTGCTGGCTGGGGGGCAGGAGGAGGCTCTGGGAGAGCTCAGAGCCCTGGCAGGGCCTGAAGGGGCTCCAGGAGAGCTGGAGAGGGACTGGGGACAAGGATGGAGGGACAGGACACAGGGAATGGCTGCCACTGCCAGAGGGCAGGGATGGATGGGAGATTGGGAACTGGGAATTGTTCCCTGGCAGGGTGGGCAGGCCCTGGCACAGCTGGGGCTGCCCCTGGATCCCTGGCAGTGCCCAAGGCCAGGCTGGAACCTGGGGACAGGGAAAGGTGTCCCTGCCATGGCTGGGCTGGCACTGGGTGGGATTTGGGGTCGCTTCCAGCCCAAACCCACCCATGTGTCTGTGCATTACATGAGTTTATCTGTGTCTGTAGCAGCACACCTTGTGCCAAGGAATAAATAACAAACCCATCCTTGCATGGATTGGTACACAAAGTGTGCCCTACCCTGAGCTCTGCCTTTTGCCTGCAGTCTCCTGAGACAAAAACAGAAATGTTAGTTATTGTGGTAAATTAATTGTAAATTAATTGTGGTAACGAGTGTGGTAGCCAGCAAACACTGGGAATTCTCTGTGCTGCAGGAGAGCTGTATGAAGGCTTTGATGAGGAGTACAACTGCCCCATCTTGGATGAGGACAGGGTGAGTGCACAGTCAGGGCCAGCCCCTGTCTCTGGCTCTGCCAGGTGAGCCCCTCTCTCTCTGTGCAGTGCAGGTGAGCCCCTCTCTCTCTCTCTCTCTCTCTGTGCAGTGCAGGTGAGCCCCGCCCAAACCCACCCGTGTGTCTGTGCATTACATGAGTTTATCTGTGTCTGTAGCAGCACACCTTGTGCCAAGGAATAAATAACAAACCCATCCTTGCATGGATTGGTACACAAAGTGTGCCCTACCCTGAGCTCTGCCTTTTGCCTGCAGTCTCCTGAGACAAAAACAGAAATGTTAGTTATTGTGGTAAATTAATTGTAAATTAATTGTGGTAACGAGTGTGGTAGCCAGCAAACAGTGGGAATTCTCTGTGCTGCAGGAGAGCTGTATGAAGGCTTTGATGAGGAGTACAACTGCCCCATCTTGGATGAGGACAGGGTGAGTGCACAGTCAGGGCCAGCCCCTGTCTCTGGCTCTGCCAGGTGAGCCCCTCTCTCTCTGTGCAGTGCAGGTGAGCCCCTCTCTCTCTCTCTCTCTCTGTGCAGTGCAGGTGAGCCCCTCTCTCTCTCTCTCTGTGCAGTGCAGGTGAGCCCCTCTCTCTCTCTCTCTGCAGGGCAGGTGAGCCCCTCTCTCTCTGTCTGTCTCTGCAGTTCCAGGCGAGGCTGACGTGTCTGTCTGTCTGTCTGTGTGTGCAGGTGGTGGACGAGCTGGAGGCCAGGATGGGCCAGGGAGGGGTGATTGTGGATTACCACGGCTGCGACTTCTTCCCCGAGCGCTGGTTCCACATCGTGTTCGTGCTGCGCACAGACAACTCCTGTCTGTATGACAGGCTGCAGAGCAGGTGTGGCACCTGGCTGGCACCTGGCTGGCACCTGGGCAGGGCTCCCGTGGGGCTGCACTGGCTCCAGGAGCAGCCCTGAGCTGGCCCTGAGCCTCACTCTGCTGTGGCACTTCCCGGGCTCCTCGGGCAGGACGAGTGGTTGAATCTGACTCCATGTTCTTAGAAGGCTAATTTATTATTGTATTGTTATGTTATATTATATTATATTATATTATATTATATTATTATAGTTTATATATGATATAATAGTAGTTATATTATATTTATTATATTATATTTTAAAAATGCTGTACTAAACAATACTAAAAATAGAGAAAGGATACAGACAGAAGGTTAGAAAGAATGATAATGAAAACTCGTGGCTGTCTCTTCCAGAGCCCTGACACAGCTGGCTGTGATTGGTCATTAAGTTAAAACAATTCACATGAGACCAATCAAACAATGACCAGTTGGTAAACAACCTCCAGAGCACATTCCAAAGCAGCAAAAACAGGAGAAGCAATCAGATAATTTTTGTTTTCATTTTTCTCTGAGGCTTCTCAGCTTCCCAGGAGAAGAAATCCTGGCGAAGGGGTTTTTCAGAAAATATCACAGTGACAAACTGCCTCTTGCTGCTCTTTCTCCAGGGGCTACACGGGCAAGAAGCTGCAGGACAACATTCAGTGTGAAATTTTTCAGACTCTGTATGAGGAAGCTGTGTTGTCCTATAAAAAGGAAATTGTACACCAGTTACCCAGCAACACTCCCGAGGACCTAGAGAGAAATTTGGATCAGATTATGCAATGGATTGAGCAATGGATGAAGGACAACAACTGACTTTTGGTGAAACAGTAACCGCTGGATCTCTTCTTGGGAGGGAGGGTTTAGTAAATGATATTTGTATTCCTTGTATTGTAAATAAACATGAATTTTGTTGTAACTGGCTGGGGAGTAGAAGGAGGCTGAGAGTAGCCAGGTTGTGAGGATTTGTAACAGCTCTGAGAGGCGACAGAACTGCTACAATGACAGAGAGGATGACAATGAGGCGGCTGTCCTGAGAAGCAGGAGCTGTGTTCAGTATCTGAGAATTCTTTACACTTTACAATTGAAACCAAACCGTGAATTCCCTGTGGGAAAACTAAAATCCTGATAGCAGTGGCAGTTGAGGCACTTTTGATTCCCAGAGTGTGGAACAGTGTCCTGGAAAGGAGTTGTTCTGGTGCAGAGCTGTTGGACTAACACCTGCTGTGTTACTCCCACACAATGGCCGTGCGAGGACAATGCAGAGCGAGAGGGGTTGGGGCAGGGTAAGGGGGAAATCCTTGGCTTTGGAGGGAAAAGAAGCAATGTGAGAGTTGTTTTAAAACAATTGCACTGAGCTGTGATTCCTTCATGTGTAAGGAAACATCATTATGCAAGCACTGGTCTGGAGCGTTGAACAATAAACTTCATTTCTCCTTTTTTCTCTGTCTTCCCCATCCCCTGCCCCAGCCATGGGAAGATTGCCCAGGAAATGCATGCCTTGAGAGCCGCAGGGGTCCGGGTGGTCTCAGGAGCAGCAGGATCTGTTCTGAGTGCTCTTAGAGCCTGGGCCCCAGGGGGCAGGGCTGCACAAGGAAGAGGCAGCCTTTCCTCGGAGAAAAGCTGCTTGTGAAAGAATCTGTAGGAAGTGCTTGCTTATAAACTCCTTGTAGACACGAGTTTGGGTAGTAAAACAAACTTCTTGAAAAATTCTGTTGTGAAGAGTGTTGTTGTTACATATTTACAGTTTTGTCGAAGAAGGCAGAGGCGACACCAGATGGTCATCAGCAAACTCTCAATTTATTGATATTCATACACTTGGTTAAATACAATACTTAATTAGCTCATGCATAGTGCAAAACTGTAGCTCATCATTGGTTAATGTGTTATTTGCGTCATTACATCATCTGAAGGTCTCTTCTGCATTTTTGTGATTTTAGAGCTAACTCTCAGTCCCTAATTCTGCAACTTATTGATACAGTCTTACCGAGACTTTCCCTCCTGAAGGACACCCTGTCCTTCAAGATATCATTAGCCTCCTTTCCCATCTAGTTTTATCAGGCCAGTTTGACTGTGTCCTTTCTCAACAAGCCATTCCTGCACAAAACTCTCCACATTACAGCTTTATTTTTTATCCAAAATTTGACGTTGGGTTTCTTGGGGTTTTTTTTTTTTTCTGGTGACACTTGTGGAGCGATACTGCAACAGAATAATACCATCGTGTGATGGTGTTATAAGCCGAAAAGGTGAAAAACAGTGTGTTTTCTTGGAGAATTGTGCCCAGGCAGTGCGGCACCGGGGGCAGAGAGCAGGAGGCAGGTGTGGGGTGGTGCGCGGTGTCCGTGAGAGCGCCGCAGCGTGTCCCGGGCACGGGGCTGCGCTGCGCTCCCACGGAACGTGCTCTGATAAAAGGCAGAAATGAGCAAAGCCCTCCTTCGGCAGCCTGCGAGCCGCTCCCGGAGCCGCCCCGGGGCGGGACCGCTCCGCCGGCTGCGCAGGTGGGTCGGGGGCTCGGGCGGGACGGGGTCCGCGGGGAGGGGGTGAGCCCAGGGGGGTGTCCCCAGGGAGATGAGCCCAGGGGAGATGAGCCCAGGGGGGTGACCCCAGGGTGGTTTCCCCAGGGAGATGACCCCAGGGGGGTGTCCGCAGAGGGGTGTCCCCAGGGGGGTGACCCCAGGGTGGTGACCCCAGGGTGGTGACCCCGGGGAGATGTCCCCAGGGGCTGTCCCCAAGGAGATGACCCCAGGGTGGTTTCCCCAGGGTGGTGTCCCCAGTGAGATGACCCCAGGGTGGTGACCCCACGGAGATGACCCCAGGGGCTGTCGCAGAGTGGTGACCCCAGGGTGGTGTCCCCAGGGGGGTGACCCCAGGGTGGTATCCCCAGGGGGGTGTCCCCAGGGAGATGACCCCAGGGTGGTGACCCCAGGGTGGTGACCCCAGGGGGGTGTCCGCAGGGGGGTGTCCGCAGGGAGATGACCCCAGCGAGATGACCCCAGGGTGGTGACCGCAGGGAGATGAGCCCAGGGGCTGTCCCCAGGGGGGTGTCCCCAGGGGGGTGTCCGCAGGGTGGTGACCCCAGGGAGATGACCCCAGGGGGGTGACCCCAGGGAGATGACCCCAGGGTGGTGACCCCAGGGGCTGTCCCCAGGGTGGTGTCCCCAGGGGCTGTCCCCAGGGGGCTGTCCCCAGGGGGGTGTCCGCAGGGTGGTGACCCCGGGGAGATGAGCCCAGGGTGGTGACCGCAGGGAGATGAGCCCAGGGGCTGTCCCCAGGGGGGTGACCCCAGGGAGATGATCCCAGGGGGGTGACCTCAGGGTGGTGACCCCAGGGGCTGCCCCCGGGCCAGGGTCCCACCGCGGCGGTTCGGCATCCCCGGCCCCCGCAGCCTCGCCTTTCCCTCTCGGGGGCTCGTCCTGCTGCTGCAAACACGGAGCTTTCCTGTTTTTCCAGATAAAATCTGGCCTTGCGGGAGGCGCTGTTCGCCGGTAGGTGAGGGGCCCTCGGTCAGGAAAGGAAAAAATAAAAAAGCAAACCAACTGAAAACCCGAAAAAAAAGCCAGGAGGAGAAGATGGAGGAAGCAGAAGAGGATGACATGACATGTGGAGACTTGGGAAACGGACTGGGGAGAAGACCGGGAGGTGTTTATGAAGGGGAAAACTTACAACATTCCTATTCAGTTAGATCTAGGAAGGGATCTGGAAAGACTTGTAATTCCCCCTTGCCAGCAAAGGTAGCAGAAGAAAGCGATGCTGCAGCTCTTCCTGCTCCAAAACGAAACAGCTTTTACGATGGATCCCTGAAAAAACCTGCCTCTAGTTCCACACGGCAGGATAGCTGCGGTAAGAGTGATCAGGAAGTTAATTATTCACCATAGGAAAAGTTTTTGTTAGTGGAAGTGAGCCGGTCAGCTGCCTCGCCAGGTGTCATCAAGTTTAATTCAAACCACTTGCCAAATTCCCTGAAGGGCTCTGTGCCCGCTGGGAGCCTCCAGCTTCCTCCCAGAACCTTCTCGGTGGTGAAGGCAGTGACCGTTCTTAGTGTCAAATGTCCGCTTTGAAAGAGTGTAATCCTGCATTTGAAAGCAGCATTTGTCAGGGAGCATCCTGTGCTGGGTGAACCTGCGTGGGTTTGGCTGTGTCTGTGAAATTGAGTGGCACTGCTTGGGTTCCTGCTTTAGGTCACTTAGCATCTTCATAAAGAGAGTTCCTAAAGCCTAAAGATAAATATTCAAAATCTGATCTGCTCTTTAGCTGAAATTGGTGAATTGGCTTACGTTAGGGGTTAGGAAGTAGCTTTTAGAAAGTGCATTGGCATTCATCTTCATTTTTTGTGAAGGTGGTGCTGCTGTAAAAACAGTCAAATGTAGGACAGTTTATTACAGCCCAGCTGCTTTCCTGTCAATTTTTAATATTCTGACTGAGGTATTGCTGTGTAACTCACTTATTTTTGTCCTTTAAACAACTCCCTTTTATGCTTTCCACAGTAAGCTGAGCTATCTCTGGCTCCTGAAAATTGCCCTTACTTCTAAATAGTGCTAGCTGTTGCTTTGAGTGTGGATGCTGAAAAGTTACAATCAGAAAATAATCTAAACCATTTTTTTTAAATCCAAGATGGCAATTTTGTTGGCTTTATTTCAAAGTAAGTTAAAAAATATCTGCCTTTATTTTATGTCTCTTTACAACAGACATTTTTCCCCCATTTAACTTCTTCAGTTGTGAAGCAACGTGCTTGAAGCTTGTATTAATGTCTTTCTTAAATCTGTTTATTAGCTCCACAACACAAAGATGAAAATTCACCTTTGTATGTTACCTGTTTTCAGGGTAAAATCCTCACTTTTTTTTTTTTCTTTAAATGTCACACTATCTTATAATTTATTTTCCTCTCTTGATCCTACAGAATCTAATACTGAAGTGTCAAATGAAGAACTGAAGCAACAACTTCGGGAAGCTCTGGAGGTTGGTAACAGTGCCCAGGGTGCTGCTCTCCAAATCTGCATTTCCCTTCCTTGTAGCAAGAGGATCTTGGCATGCTGGGACACTTGAGTGCACCCAGGTTCTTGGGATTACAGCAGCAGTTGGAAGCTTCATTAAATTTTATGAAATGTGTAAATGTCATAAAAATTGTAGTGTGAGGTGTACTTTATACTCTGGGGGTTTTCTTTACAAAATATTTTTAAAGGTGGAGAGAATATTGAAGATACTGTTGTACTTTTCTAGCAGGTGTTTATGTTTTATTAAGCTTTGGGGCTTGAAAAAGTGTAGTGTAAGCAATCTTTGGATTTTTAGTCTGCATGTTAGTTGAAAGGTAGTTAACAGCACATTTTGATTCCACTGTGGTTAAATGTATTGAGGTGTTGGCCAGCTGACTACAGCTGTAAAAATACACCTTCCACCTGTACTGTGTTCTCTAACCTCAGGGAAGCCCATGAAAAAACATAATGTAGGTAAAACAGAGGGTTTTTTTTGAGGAGGGCCAATTTACATGGGTTTTACAGCCGAATCTTAACAGGAGTACCTTGGCTTTTGCTCACTTTGTTTTATCTACTTTGTTTTACTTCAGGAGCTTGAAGTTCTGAAAGTTGAGCTTGAGGCATCTCAAAGACAGCTGGAGGGGAAAGATGAAGCCCTAAGAATCCTGCAGAGCATGGTAGGAGCTGTGCAGAAATCTCTTGGTGGTAACAAGGAAAAGAGAGGAAATCATCTGCTGTTCCTCATCAAAACCTCAACAAGCTTAAGGCTTTCCCAGGGCTGCAATTTGCATCATTGACTCTGCAGGTGTCTGCTGACTTGCCTCTGCAATTTATTGGAACTAGGGTGTTATTTAAGAAGACTTTAGTGTTGTAGCAATTCTTATAATTTTACCTTTGACAATCCCTGAGGATTTATCTACCAAAGATAAAATTAAGGCCTTTTTCCAGTCCCTTGTATAGAAGATTTAGGCAGTGCTTGGAATCCTGCTGCAGGGCATGAGCATTTCGAGTTGGCTGCTCCATCTGCTGCCCTAGAGGACAGTGTGCCTTAAATGTCAGGTCATTCTTTTGTTCCCCATTTGTAGTATTTTTATTCTCTTTCATAACAAAATCAGCTGGAATCAGTTCCTGGAATTCAGCCCACTTACAAAAGCCATTTCTGGTTGTGTGGCTTCTACCATCAGACATGTGCAGCCTGGATCAGAGCTGAGGTGTTGTAACCCAGCTGTGTAAGGTGTGATTCTCTGAAGGGGGCACGGTCTCAGGGTGAGTGATGCTGCACTGTCAGCCCAGAGGTTCTGGGGCTGAAGCCCAGAAAGTTTGTTATGCAAGTTAGAGTTGAGATCAGAGCCCTGTGGGGCTCACGAGGAGGCTGCTGGTGTTTGTGACTCTGCACTCTGCTGTCTGACTGTGAATGTGAGGCTGAAAATTAACTGGGTGCAATCACAGCATCTGACACAGTTGCATTTTGG